TTTCCAAAAAATTATTTTTTAGAGGATTTCGAAGGTTTTCAAAATAAATGCTAAATTCTTCACAATGTATATGCATTATACATATTCTGATTCTCCCTGATCAGGGCTACATTTTGACTATAAAATATTACGATTTTATCAGTATTTTGATATTATCCTTTGATGAATGAAACACACTGGCTATGCAAAGGTGGGTGTGGGTGTGGTTGTGGGTGTGTTGCTGCAGTATTAATTCACACCAACACCCAACCACCCACATCTGCACCCACACATATCCTTGTTGTTATTTGCTCAAAAAAACTTTTCTTTCATTTTTAGAGTACATTACGGTTATATGATGGTTCAATATTGTCATCAACTCAAAATGTTATTGTTATATCAATTGAATATCGTGTTGATTCACTTGGTTTTCTTTATTTGAGCACACCAGATGCTCCGGGTAGTCAAGGTCTATTTGATCAACAATTAGCATTAGAATGGATTCATAAAAATATAAGAAATTTTGGTGGTTATCCACAACGTATTACATTATTTGATGAGTCAGCTGGTGCTGTTTCTGTTGGTCTACATTTATTATCACCAAAATCACGTTCATTATTTAATAATGCTATATTAGAAAGTTCAGGTCCAACAGCTAAATGGGCTGTTTTAACACCACAAATAGCAAAATATCGTTCAGAAAATTTTTTAAACGTGTTTACACGTTATTTTACTGAACGTTATGAAGCAGGTCCAAATGATAGTGAATATGCATATATACCAAAACAATGTCAAAAACGTTTAAATACAATAGAAGAAAAATTTTTATGTGTTAAAAATTATCCTATATTAAGTCAAACTCATTTTCGTTCATCATGGACATTAGAATCATATAATGGTGGTCCAATTGGTTATACATTTGTACCAACAATTGATGGTGATTTTATACCATATGATCCTGAACAAATGTTAATTAAAAAAGATTTTAAAAGATGTCCAATTTTATTAGATGTTAACAAAGATGAAGGTTCATATTTTAATCTTTATGTACCATATGGAAATATGAGTATTAATACACGGCCATATGTGGATTATAAAACATTTAAACATGCTATTAAAGAATATTTTCATTATATACCAACATATCCAACTGAACGAGCACCAAGGGTATTAGAAAGTATATGACAAACTTATACTATATGGAGTGATTATAATAATACAATACAAAATGCAATTCAACTAAGCTTAGCTGTTGGTAAGACATTGTTTACTAAATCATTCTTATTGAATATCTTCGTGTTTTTTAGCTTGCTCATTTATCATCATTCTACAGATGTATATTCATCTGTTGAGAAATAAAGATACGAATCGATTAATATCAAATATATGTTTAGTTTCTTATTGATCTGAAACTATC